CTTGAGAGATCATGCTTGGATGCACTTCTTGCCGGATTGCCACCCGCACGCTTTCGACTATTGTTTCGAACTCGGCTCTCGACATATGCCCGGGTTGCAGGTCCGCCATGTCCTCTATCGTGACGGGCCGCACCCCATCGGGAGGCTGAAATACGGAATGGTGGATTTCATAACGCTCTTCCTGCCCGGTGCTGTCTCTTCCGCGGCGCTTGAAGCGGGACGCGATTTCGTCGGCCCAGCGCTCGAGGCGGGCATTGATGGCCTTGAGGTCGACACCGGCATTGCTCCCAACACGCTGACGAAACTTGGGTCTGGATATCGAAGCTCTAGGGCTGTGTGCGGCCGAGCGGTGCCGAGGCTGCCCGGTTTGGCTGAAACGAGGGGGAGGGTGCTGCAGCGAGGCTGAGGACTGGCCCATGAGCTCATCGTCGGATTCGTCGCTGAACTGGTCCGCCTGGGCCAGGCGTTCGTAGCCGGTCGCGGCGTTTCTGCCGAAATTCATGGCGGCCGATGCAATAACGAAGCAATGATGTCGATTCTGGGTTGTGTTGTGGAATCCCCATGGGTGGTCAGCGGCGCGTCTGAGCTACAGGCGTCGTGGCAGCCTGCATCTGGCGCCGAAGCACAGCCGCGAAGCTAATAAAGGAGTGAATGGCCTGTCGTCACCTCCTACAAGGTGAGCTCCTCGACAGTGAAGTTCATTGAAGGAGAATGGCTTCGAATGGATGCGCGGGAGGCGCCAGTGGGAAGTTGCGTGCAAAAAAAAAATTATGAAGCCGGGAATCACAGATGCAACCTGTCGTCATCCCGTTACCATCGTAGAGGTAGTTGAAGCCAGCACGTGAAGGAGGGAGACAATCTTATCTAGCGCGAACAGCTCCATTCAGGGGACGGGTACGGGGCCCTATCAAAAGACTATTAATTAATTAATTATTTGTTTGACTCGGATTTCTCAGAAAATGTCTAGGCAATCTGATGCTCTGTTTTTTAAAGCTGTCGAATTTCAAGAATCTCCCTCTCAATATCTCAATTACCACATACCTTAGCATGGATGCTACAAAAAGTTGTCACTACGTACAAACACCTACCAACCGCACTAACACCTCCAGCTCCAACACACGAATCCACTGCCCCTCTCACCCCTTATTCGCCTTGTAACGTGATGTGCTTGATGTTCTAAACACGATTGAACCAGTGATAAATCATTGCATTACTAGGCTAATCCGAGCCAAGGTAGTCCCTACAGCCGATCGATTCCGCTCTTCTCCAGCTCCTTTTAGTGGTGGGTAAGCCTCGCTATGTGGCCAAGACTCTCGTTCGCACCTCCTGGTCTATGCTTTTCCTCATTTAGCATACTACGCGGTCTGATGAGTGTGTTTGGGCGAATGAGCGCCTCATCGAAATTCTGGAGAGCGCTCGAGCAGAGCTGCAAAGCACAAAGGGGCGAATATCCATGACGCTGTTCCCCGGGTTAAGGGGATCTAGTTCGATTCCGCTTACCGTTCAATCTATCTAAAAGTAGTATCGAGTAGGCGAAGATGATCTAGGACCATTAAGAGAACCAGGATCCCGTAGAAGCAGAGGACTACTGCAATGCAGCCATTCTATGAATGAAGGTATATATCTGAATTTCGTGGTAAGATCATTTTAAGCAGGTCTATGGGAGGCAGCGCGTAAAGAAGATAACGAAATCTTGATATGGTCATGACTTTATCGATCGATCATGAGGTCAGCCTATGTTGGGTTTAGTTCGACTACCCCCAGTATTTGGAAGCAACGAAAGTGTTCCAGAAAGCGAGAATCCCCCTCTATTCTTTTATTTTTAGAGTTGTAGCAAAATGTCAATGATAGACCAATGTGGGAAAGTAAATTCTTTGTGTAGGTATATCAACCAAAGATTAAAGCCCTTTCACAATGCGACACTCGTTCAAGCACCAACAGGTCCAGATAAGAGAGTTACGGAGTGGCCTACAGAGTTCATCCCACTACCTACACCAGTTGCTCAGCCACTACGACGGCACTTTGCTGTCGGCCTATTATAAAACGTGCTGTAACCCCGGCGCTAGCTTGTCTTCCGCCCATCTTAGAGCCCTTTTGGTTAGAGGAGCATGCAATCTGGGAGTGTGAAGTTGTGCCACCCTCCTTTCTTACCCCTCTTCCCTTCCCTTCTGAGTAGGTGAGCATGTGCTCCGTGGGATGTACGGGGTTTATCGACATCTTTCTCCTGGGATGGGAACAGCCCTGCACTCAATTGACAGTAGGCCTGCTGTTTCTACGCAAAAGGGGTGGTCGTTATGTTACAACGCTCTCCTGCCGCTGATGCTGTTTTATCGCCGTGCAATCGAAACTTAGGTGATCATCATCGCTAAGCCCTGGCCTAGCGGAAAGTATGTTCGATGGAGGGATGACAATGGCCATTTGGTAGGCTCTTGGAGGCAGCCGATCGCTACTGTGCGCTGATCCTCCGCATGATCATGTGCTTCGCATGATCTAGGCATCCGCGCATCTATACTAGGTAGTGCCTCTGTACACTCATGGCAGATATGTGATGGCTACGGGCTCCAGTTGACGTTGTCGCGGACCATCGGCCTGTCCTAGGCTCCGACTAATTACCCCAGCCTTGGCCAGGCAACAAAGTTCGTGCTATGATGGGCGTTGCCTGACCATACCCGTACTGGAGGCAGACAGGTACCTTTGGGTCGGGTCCAGAATGTAGGCGTCGGTCGGACTCAATTGCTTACGGCACCATACTGGAACACCCTCGAGAAATGAAAGGCGGATTTACATTTGTCGAGTTTGCGATTCAGACAAGGTCTCGGGCATTCCTGCCGGGATGATGCATGCCGCATGTCTAAGGGGTTTCAACAACATCCCACAGCTTCCACATAAACATCCAATCCATACCTACGTGGCCCGGATAGCCGTATGGGCACGTCCCTGACACGGTCTGAGGCGCTCTGTGACGCTCCCTGACGCTCCCACCCACCAGCTTGGTCATCGCCCAGGATCCAGGAGCCCGCCGGCGCACCACCCCGGGCCCTGCTAGCGACAAAATGACATGCAAAAGGATCACCAGGCCTCTGCTGGGGAAGTTTGGGAGTCTCCCCGCCCCGTTGCCGCGCTGGCCCCGGTCCATCAAGGCCAGTTCTGGCTTGTTCCAGTTGACTTTGGTGGCTGCTGTTAGCGGTGACTCAAACGGCCTCTAACCGAAAGAAACAGCAATAATATTTATGGACCGGGTGTCGACGGCGCTCTGGTGGTTTGGTGGCTTTTGCTCAGCTGACCCTGTCAATGCCCTGGGACCCGTATTCACTAAGGTGAATGAACATGGCGTTTGGGAGTGTCTCATTCCAAGTTATTTCATGCCCCCTAGCAATAAGTAAATAAACTAATTTTTGCTCCCTGGTTCGCTTTAAGTTCCCCTTCGCTTCCTCATCATTGCGCCCGTCCCCTTCTCTCCATCTTCCTCTCTCATTACGGAACAGCATAAAAGGGACATCCCCCCCCCCAAAAGGAAATTCTACATTGACCCTCCCTTAATAATCCACTGCCAACCATCCAACCACACCCTCCGGCTTTAACCGTGTGTTGTATTTACCTTCGGCATCTCCAGCAAAGCAGCCACCTTCTCTGACTACACCAACATACCTCCAGACAAGCTCCCTGGAGTCATCGCCGTTCTTTCTAGTTCTCCGGCAGAGCTAGAGAAGCAATAAGATCGAAACACCCTACCTAAACAACTACATGAAATCCCCCACCGCGGACGATACCAAGATGCTTGAGAATATGCGGGGACGTACCAGAGATCGCCGGCGAGAGACATCTGGCTCAAAGGCAGAGCGAACAGATGAATCAAGCACACTGAGGGGCAGATCTCGCCATCGAGCCTCCTCCCCTCTGGGCTCCTACTCACGAAACCCGTCGCCTTCATTGAAATCCCCTAACCGCCACCTCTTCATTCTCAACCGAGTCCGCGATAGCCGACGGGAGCACTGCCCATCTAGAGTCCCATCTCGGTCTGATAGGACGGCCTCTCTTCGGCGGGGACAGAGAACACGAAGCTGCAGCCGAGGCCCACAAGCCCGCCGAGCTGTGGACCATCCCTCCAGCCTGAGGAACGAGGTCCTGGCTGAGGATGCCCAGAAACTCGAAACCACAGAACAGACCTGAGGAGGAGGGTTTGTCCCGCTCCTCTATTCACGCTTGAGCATATCATCAATAATGGCACCATCACGAGAAACGACATGAGGTCCCTCCGAGAGGGCTACACAAACGAACCTTGCTTGTACAATAACGTTAAACGAATACTATGGATTCTGGTAGCACATGAATTTGGCTAGGAAAATTGGTTTTGAATTATGTTGCGCCCGACGAGATTGGAATCGCTGCTTGGCATTTTTTACTTTTATTTCTATTTTTCATTTTCTTGTTCTTTTCTTTTCCTTTCCTCGCTTGTCTTTCTTTCCTCCTTGACATCAATGTTAGCAGGGCTGTTCTGGGCGTTGGATTTCACTTCACGATATGTCATTATCTCTCTGCACTAATACCGGGAAAAGTAGCAGCTGTCTAGCTCGGCCTGGGCAGCCGCTCTGATTGAATAAATACCACATCTCATACCCAATTTATCAAAGTGATTGAATACCTATGCATCTGTGTGGCGAAGGCCGGCAGAGAGTCTCAACTTACACCACCCAACTGAATCGCCGTGAATGCCGAACAGATTCCTATAGCGGTGCTATTAGTGGAACCTTCAGCGGTCCAGGTGCCCGTTTTTACGCTAGATCCACATGTCAGGTCAGACACAACTTCCCATTGGCCCGCCCCATACATGACCTTACAGTACAACGCCTGATAATCGTACTCCATGTCCAAAATATTTTTCTTGATATCATGTTCGCCTTCACCCGATCACAGGATCAAGACCGCGCGACCGCAATTGCCCGCCCCCCGACTCCGACCTGGTCATAAGGTCGCCAACAGCTACCTCTTTGGATCCAGCTATGCTGGAAAGGGCAGCAGCTACCTTTGAGTCGGGCAAACTTCAACGGGTCCTCCCCCGGGCTACACACATCTCGAGGAACAATGCTGCTGGTTTCCCTCAGCAACATGGACGCCTGCTGACTGGGCTCCCGCGCAGCCATTCAACGCCGTCCAGCCACCAGGTTGTTCCCCCTGATAGGGAGCCTCATCCTCGACATGCTTGTCCCCGTGGCGAACCGACCGACCCCCTCGACTTCCTCTACCCCAAGCCCACTCACGCCCTCCTGCGACAAAACCGCCATGACTTGGCAAGACCTCACAAGGCACTCAATGTTCTGAGTAAGATTGATAACTTGTGTATCAAGTCTCACGGCGGGAAGCGATTCAATTCGAATGGGACGGCAAAATCTCCAGGCAACACAGAGAACAAGTGGGATGACACAGAATCCCAGCAGCCTGAAGCTCAATTGTTATCTGTCATTAAAAATGGCAAAGCTGAAAGCCAATGGGATCTTAACATAGGGCTTAGAACGAAGGATATGTTCGCCATCCAGGACGAGAAGGAGCTCAATACGACTGTGGACGCCGTTGCACTCACCGCCGAGGAGGATGTCAATCGTCTCCCTAGCCCGTCCTTCCATTCGATAAGCAACTCTCTGAACGACTTGTTGGCAGATCCTGATGGAAATAGTTACCACGATGTTTGGGACCTATACTGCCGGTTGAACATGGTCGAGCAGATCCTCCTTCGACCCCGAGTTGTTACATATCTCTCAAGATCGCGCAGTGTTGTCGAAGCCGGGCGTTCGAATTCTCTCATTCGGCAGGTTGAACTGGAACAATGGGATGACGAATTTCTATCCTCAGCAGTGCTTGTCTATCTGAGGTCTGACCAGCAGCAGGCGGCTCTTGATATCTTCAAGACTGGAGTGGATGCCAAAGGTCTGGTTGGAGGTATCGAATATCTCATCGTGGATTCGGTTAATAAACAACAGTGGGCCGTTCTGTTAGATGCTTGGATAACTTACTGCGAGCATTGTGCAAGGATGCCCGGCAATGCCAGTCAAAAGCCTGATGAGCACCTCTTGTCCCCGTTTTCGTCGTTGTCAAACCTGGGAGCTCTCTACTACTCGTTCGAAAGATACCTAGTGAAAGACCGGAGAAAGGTTGAGCGGAAACTTGACAGGTCTGCTGTCTCCAAGTCTGGCTTGCGTATCCTCCGGCGACGATTTGCAGAAGAGGCTTTGGCCCAGCTGTGCCCACCTTCCCAAGCGTCCACCATCCTGGCTTTCTGGAGAGATGGCATATTGTATGACCACTATCTTACCAATATGTTTGATCAATGGTACATGAAAAAGATTTCCAAAGCTACCGCCCGCACGCTCTTGGGCATTTACCAGGCATTCAGGAAGCTTCCAGGAGCAAAGCCGTCCCATGCTGTCTTGCGAGGAGTCTTCAAACTACAGTTTCACGACCTCAGTCCTGCACCCCTCGAACAGCTTCGTGGTGACTGGATCCGGTATTGGGGAGAATTGAGCCAGTGGGCCTATGAGAAATATCTAAAGCTGTACGCCTTTCGCGGAGACGTGGATCGTGTACGCCAGCTATGGGATAGTTACGTACAGCAATACCCCTCTAGCGTAGAAACTCCACGGGGTTTCCGAAGCACAATGAATGTCTACGCACAGAATGGAGACATTGCGGGGGCCGAGAAGGAACTCGATAGGATTATCAACCGTTACGATGTTGAGCCTGACCTGGACATTTATAACACGCTCCTTAAATGTTACATGAGGGCCAATGACTACCAGAAGGTTTTGGCCTACTTCGATGAAATCTCTGAGAAGCAAACCCCGGATTCGTTTACATATGCACACGTCATGGCTATGGCCTCAAAATTGGGTGATCTAGATATGACCATCGAGTTTTTCAACAAGTCTCAAGAACACCACGTCCCACTTTCAAGAGAAATGGGGCTGTCTCTAGTGGTAGCATACTGCAAAAACGATGGCTTGGTCGAAGCCGAAAATGTCTGTGTTGAGCTGGCGCAGCGAGGGGCCTGCAGCACGGCAGTCTGGAATCAGCTCTTGCATTATAATGGCATGTACAGACGGCTGTCAAAGTGTTACCTATTGTTAAATCAAATGAAGCAATCCGGATTTGAGTGGGACCAGGATACCATCGGCTGCCTTTTACGAGCCTTGATTAGGGTCAATCAAGTTGGACCTGCATTTGTGGTTGTGCGAGATGCCGTCAGGGATGGGCTGCGTATTTTGCAGCCGGATCACTTTTCCATGGTCATGTCGGGAGCTGCTCGGAGTGGTGATCGTGGCATAGCAGAGAGCTTGATGAAATTGATGGAACAAAACTCCATTCCCGTACCCTTCAACGCTCAAGTGGCATACTCCTACGTCTCTCTCAAGGTAGCGCCAAATACCACGCGCACACCCGCTTTGATAAAGAGCATGGTCGCCTCGCTGCGACCTTCCGACCCGAACACTAAACTCAATGTTGGGGATGTCAGGCGGCGAAAGCAAGATGCGGCAAGCATGGGGCGAGCGGTACTACTCCTGACCGAGTTCCGTGAGTTCGTCAGTGTCGGGGAACTATTAACGATATTCACCGATATGTTCCCACAGTACAAGACAGGTGAGCCGATGCCACAAGACATCGTCAGTGCGTTGATGCTTGCCTATCATCGGGACGAGAACTACGACCGGGTTCATGAAGTATGGAGAGCAATGTGGCCCAAGATACTCGATCGCTACGTAAAATTGGGCACTAATGAGGTTTATCCTACTCATCAATACGATGTAACGATGATCATCTCCCGCTTGGCTCAGACATTTGCTGCCCAGAAAGATGGGGATGGGCTGGCTGAAGTCGTGAGGCAAGTCACTCGGGTTGGATTCAAGCTCACTTCGAACACCTGGGATCGAGTAATTCGCTGCCTGGCGCAGTTCGGGCAATGGGAAACAGCGATGGACTGGTGCGAGAGGCTTCTCATGCCTCAGTGGCAAGGCATGAACCCACCCAAGCTGCCTTTAAATCAGCGACGCGAACAAATGCATCCCAGCATCCTCCATCCCAGGAAGCCCATGATCATGGCGTTGCAAAAGGAGTGGATGGAAGCCCGGAAACTTGGTTTATGGTCGGGAGAGATGTCGCGTAAACTTATCGACATGGAGGAAAAGTACCCTCTCCTGCATCGTGCTTTCGCCGAATCGAAAATCTCGGATCAGTCTGACCGCTGGGTTTTCGGAAGCGAGGCTGAGCTGGACAAGGCCATCTATGCCTTGCTCAAGCCGCTACCCCTGGCAGAACTACTCCGGATGGAGAAGGCTCTGGAAAGACAAATTAAGCTTAAGCAGCTGGAAGCTGGGCCGGACGACACTCACTTCCTCAGGGTTGATGAGGAGAGCCTTACCCCTATGGCGCTGCAACGTGCCGAGTTGCAACAACTTCGGTCCGTCTTGCAAACAACCCTCAGTGCGAGACAAGATCCGGAGGCAGACGACTTTGATGAGCTAGACGAGGCTACCGTGCCGCAGTAGGATGGATGTCTTATGAATGCCACTTCCGTCCTCAACGACTGTATAAACTGTATGATAAGGATAATTGTAAGCTCTTATTGTAATATATAGACATACATGTATAGTATTCGCATAGAAGCCAACAGTTATAGAATATAATCGCTTCTTCCCAACTCATCAAGGACTGTATCATGTGCATGTTCAATTTGTGTTATATTCTCTCAAAATAAAGTATGTATGTAATAGCCTCAGCTCAATGTATCTCTGCGCCGGAACTGTCCGTTTGTTTATGCAGGTGCTATGCCAGCGGTCAAATACCAAATACCAAATATCAAAGCTAACGCCAAGCTAAAGAAGGCAGCGTTCAACTCCAATGTGACCCATTCTAGATTGGAAAAGAGCAAATGCCGGCTGGGGCGCAGATGCCACCGTCGATGAATTAGTAGGCGGGCATGCATGAGTTTAAGAAAGCAAATGACACCGAAACCCCCAACCTTTTCTAAGTAAAGTTCCGGAGCGAAACTCAATAATGTACATGTGGTGGACATATAGTCTCCTGTATTGGAGAGGCGACGGTCAAGGGCTTTTTTTCTACACATCATGGTCAAACAGCAGCTCTGCCTCGCCGGGCTTGACACCCAGAGACCGCAGGCGTTGGGAAAGAAGACTCTCGGAGCCGCCACCTGCGGGTCGTGGCCCAGGCGGGCTGAAGAAGTTCCCGCCGTAGCCGATGTCGCCCTTGCTGAGTTTCGTGTAGGGCGACGATGCCACGCCCCATGAATCAGCGCCGGACGAGTCCTTGGTGGACGGGCGGCTGGCCTGGGAGGACTGCGGCGACCGGAACTCGGCCGCCGCGCTCTCGCTGACCTCGCTGCCGGGACGATCCCTCCCACCCCCAGGGAGACGGAGCGGGATGGGCTCGAGGGGGAGGACGTTGCTGATGCCGAGGCCTGACGAGGCGCCCATGGAGGAGCGGGTGAACATGCCATCCGCCATGTCGAGAGATAGGGGCGGGGCCCCCATGGTGAACCCTGAGCTCCGCCTCCTGAATGCCTTTTCGGCGGCGAGCATGGCTCCCGGCCCGCTGGAGGTTGAGAGCGGTGGGTGCATCACTCTGATTGGCTTGTAGGGGCTGAAACGCGGCTCTGGCCATGTGGTTTCATTTCTTAATTTCTCCTTGCCGTCGGGAACGCGGTTGGCAAAGACGAGACGAATGCTCTTGTAGAGGTAGAATCGGCCCTTGGCGGGACAGCAAATATGCAGATGCACCAGGTACCGAAGGGTTGGTCTCTCCACTGAGCCAGCGCCTCCATGGTTGGGAACGCCGTCTATGATGGGCCCTCCAGAGTAACTCCTCTGCCGGATGAACGTCTTGGTCCCCGGTTCCATGCCCTCCAAGTCGTACGGGACAAGGAAGAGCTTCACCGCCGTTTTGTTCTGGTTTTTTATCACAATCTGGATCTGGCCCTTTTCCGGGATCCTGTAACTGCCCCCAGGGGGGGCTCTTGGGGAGGCTGATCGGCGTTTGGGTCTTGGAACTTGCCGGGTTTCAACATCCATGGCCTGTCCCGCCGTTACGGAGTCGCCGGCCCCTTCGACTGATTTACGATCAGCAATCCTGCTGTGGGCCTTTCTTCTCGACCGAGATTCGTCAGACACATTTGGCAGGCCGTTTTCCAAATCTATCTGGCCAACATAGGGACTGGGGCCGTCTTCGCTGCTGGAGCGGCCATGGGGCGTGGTGCTGTAGCTATAATACACAGCAGGGAATGGAAGCGTCACATGAGCTGGGCATTTTAAGCTAGGCTTGCACTTGCCCATGCCGAGAACGCCGATCTGGGCGAGGAAGTCGAGCGGTTTTGAGGGTGTCGTAGACATGCGCCCGCGCAGAATACTCTCCTCATACGACCCGACCATGGACGCATGCTGCTGGATCGGGGACGAATCCGAGCCGAAAAACATGCGTCGCAGCATGGCTGGGGTTGGAGGTGATGTTGCCGAGTGCTTGAAGCTCGAGCTAGACGTAAGCGACCTTCGGGGTTGATGTGCTTGGTATGGTAGTGAGCCTTCACGGCGATGGAAGGCCATCCTTCCTGCAAAAGAAGACGGCCCTCGGGGAGATGGAGAAGCATAGGGAGATGAGAAGTTGGAGTACAGAGTGTGTCGTCTCGAGGCATATCTGCCCGACGCAAAGTCGATGCCTCCCAAGGGGTCAGAAAGGTCCAGCTCGTCATTGCTCTCGGACTGCACCAGTGGACTTGTGGGCGGCTGATAGGCAAAGCTAGAGGAGAAGGACGGAGACAGAACTACCGGGGACGTGGCGAAGGTTGCGGATAAGGGCGTGTCTCTCTGTAGAAAAGTCCTCCTCTCATCGAACTGGAAGGGTGTATAATCCCTTGGGGGAGATGCAGCCAGCCAGTCATTTTGGGGTGGGATTTCTGACTGTACTCGGGCCTTCTGCACTCGATCCTCTCGCTTCGTCTCTGGCGAAGTGTCGTGCGTGAAGTCGCCGCTGTGGAGAGCCGATCCTGGCCGTTCGATGCTCAGCCCATTACGTAGGTTGACATCTGCTGCCGTGGAGTTCTCGTCCTTCTCTGGAGTAATCTTCGCCGCCGGGAGTAGGTTGGAGGATCTTGAAGGCGTTCTCGGCGGTCTCGTAGGTGGGCTGACTGGTCTGTCCTGCTGGAAAATGACCTGATCACGCTTCTGGTTAACGAACGCTGTGATGCTTGTATCTGTAGGTAGGAAGTGTCGTACATGGCGGTTAGGGATCCATGTCGGGCTTTGTCCCCTCTTTAGCCTTTCAATCAACTCAGCCCTGTTGGCTGTGGCGGTGGAATCGTCGGCAGGTGTGTGGAACGGTGACTCCCTGGGGCTTTCGAGGACTGGGCCCTCGCATAGCTCGGTTCGCAAACTCTCCTCGGAGAGCCTTCTGCTCTTGGAAGCGGCATGCGGTATGGTAATGGCCTCTGGAGTCGTCTCGGGGCCAGGTTCGGGTTGAGACGGGTGATGGACAGTGTCGCTGCTACAGCTGAGATCGGCTTGGAAGATGGGCATGGCAGAAGGGCAGAACCACAGCCAGGCTGCGGTTCTGAAGAGATAGGCAGTCGTAAACTATCATCAAATCCAAGTATCGAGGTTTGTTGCTTGAAGTTGGAAACCTTGGGGTCGGTAGAGCTGGGGGCGGCTAGGCGATAAGATAGCTGCCCATGTCTCGTGAGCGAGGTCGGCTTGGGCTAGGCAGAGCCTTCACTGCATGAATCAGACGAGTGCACAGACACGTATATTTTGTGTGCTTTAATTCTGGTCCTAGATATGCAAACACCCAGCCAGCGAATCTGCCCCGTGGACAGCGTCTGAGCCTGCCCAACGTATTTGAAGGTGCGGTGAGGTCCAGTCGTTCCATCAGGGTCCCGTGGAGGCTAATGCAATAGATGGGTCCGTCATGATGGAGAAGATGCAGTGAGCGAGATGTGCCGTCATTTGTGCCAAATTAGAGTGTAGGATAGCACATGGTGTTCAGAGTACCTGCAAAGTACACCACCTTGGCACCATTGACCCGCAGTTTTGGCGCCAAAGGCCCATGTACTTTTTAGGTATCCAGTACTTGCTTGAGTAAACTTTCAGTCGCCCATTTCTTTCTGACAGCAACACACGACGGCGCATGAATACTCCATGTGGATCTTCAACAAAGCGAGAGTAGAAAGCCTAAAATCTCCGGAAGAGTCTTAAGCAGACTGGCTGGGAATTCCGTGGGAAAAGGCGGGCTTGGAAAGCGTCTGGAGGCTCAACTGTAGATCCCCTGTAGACATATCCATTCTTTAGCGGGCCCCGCTGTGTCTTGACTGGCTGCAGCATCAAAAACTTGCAACTGAATCTGAACTGTCCAGCTCCAGCTTCATCAATCCAGCCATAGCTGCGTGCCATCTCAGCTCCCATAATACGAAATGGCGCCTAAAAGGCCCCGGGAGGATTCTGAGAAGGCTCCGGATGCCAAGAAACCCCGGCGTGGCTTTCGAGTCGGCCCTGACAACCTCCCAGATGGACCCTGGCGTAGAAAAGGTTGGTCTCAATCTTTTTTCATTCATGCTCTCATCTACGCTCAGGTGTGGTTTGTTCCTTCATCAATCTAACGCAACCCTACAGTTACAAAAATCAAGAAGGGCCTTATTGTTAAGGCCAAGTTGAAAAAGAACTACGCCAAGATCAAAGCGAGAGAGGGAAAGGACCATCAGGCTTCGGCTGAAGATAATGATCATGACAGCAATGGCGACGAGGAGACGGAGAAGCCGTCTGGGGGTGATGAGCCAGAACAGCTTCACCCCACACGCCAACTCATGCTAAAAGATGAGGACATGGCACAGGCGGGCGCCGACCCCGAGAAGCAGAATGATGCCAGCGATGGACAGCGCCGCAGGACTCGGCGACCAGGTTACTATGACAAGCAGCTCAGGAAGGCAGATGAGCGGCGCACTGAGAGTGAGGCTCGGGCACAGGAGTTTCAGCGGCGCAGGGAGGAGCGTGAGAAGAAGATTGCTGAGAGGGAACGTTACAAGAAAGCAATGGCAAAGACAATCGGCAAGGACGGGAAGAAGAAGCTTGGGAGGGAGAGCAGTTTGCTGCTGGATAAGGTTAGGAAAATGGTTGGCAACCAGTAGGAAGTGAGCGAGAGGCGCCAGATGCCAAGGAGGGCAGACGCTATACCCATCATATTTTCTCAAAACAGCGCATAATATTTCATGGTTTCATTGATTTCCACCGCCTGCTCTGACACTATTCACACAGGTTGACGAATGACTGGATATGTCTCAATGCTGTAGGTGGGCCGCTATCGTGTGACAAACTATCGGTAGTTGGGGCACGGCACGTTTCTCCCAAGGCAATAGCTTCGCGGCCGAGAAGAAGAAAAAATCTCGATGTACTGAAGGGGGTGTGTGACGGGGGGCGGGTACTGAAAAAGAAATAGCAATCAAAAGTGATCAACCGTTTCGGAAGATCGTCTGTACTGTCTCAGACGACGTGTTTGGAGTTGATGGGTTCCAGGTGGTCGGTGGGTAATAATGCTGATCTTGGTATGTGCCGGATCTCGACAACGCACACCATGAAGAAGCTCCTGTTCCTAGACGGCGTGGAAGTCATGGCCAATTGGGACTAGGTTAGTAGCCATTTATTCAGGCCGAACATACGATAAAGAAATCCCAAGGATGGGGAGTTTCTTCCATCACAAGCCTGAAATCAATACAGAGTCATTAGCATTGATACGGGGACGCATACACTCGAATCGGGACAGCGTGTCGTTCATCAACCTGGATCTGGCATTCTACTGTAGTCTTCCGGGCCTCCTCCACATCCCATATCCACCGACCCATTCTGCGCTGGGATTAGGAACGCGGGACGATGGCACATTTGACAGGATAGTGATGAGCCGGGCGCTTACGCAGTGAAACAGCAGGCCCTCTTTCTCGGATGCAGACCTACCTCCTCCCGCCACTTTGTGCTTGTTCATATCCAATGTCCCTACATGCTGCAGATGAGACAGACGGGCGGAAATTAAAGACCTTCAGCCTCTTGGTCAGCGGTAATGAATGGCGGTGCGGATGGATCAGGCACAATGTAGCAGCTCATATGTGATGCGCATGTCCATAGAGGAGCGCCCTACTAGTGGCGTTTCATGCGGTTTCAACCACGGTTTTCAGGGACCGGGCCCCCAATGACACCTGGGGGAAAACTTGGCCCAGAACCGGATAATGGCGAGAGCCACGCAGTATTTGGCTCGTGACTGGTGGCCGCGCGAAGAACAAGGCAATGCGAATGGAACTAGCGTGCGCACGCTGCAGGCGTGAGCTGAGAAGAGGCCATCTGAAACATGCAAATGCTTAAGTTTTTGTGCCTGCCGATTTATTGCTCGAAAGGATGTGCTATTGCCGGTGCAGGCAAATGAGTGACCTCCTAGTACTCAAGGGGTCTGTCCCTTCTTACTGCACTTCATGTCACTCTGCTTTTTTGACAATGCCTTGTGCTACATTCATCAAGTACCCTCGCCGATGGGAGAAGGAAGGAAGGCAAACAAGGTAACAAAGGCATCTGAGGATTCAGCTGGCTGTGGAGCACGACGACGGCTTGGTGGAGGCAGAGTCGACTTGCTTCTGGGGCGCGAGACCCGACGGTCTGTCAATAATCCTCCGTTGATAATGAATACGACGTTCATTTCAATTCACCAGAGCAGTGAGTCTTACAAGTTCCTGCGCCACGAAATGGGTGGTGTGGATTGAGGCTATTGGTCTGGTTTGGGAGATGGGCTGGTAAGGATGGTGGCGTGACCCCTGGCAGGGCACCACACCAGGGCAGGGCATGGTAAGCCACAGAGTACATGAAACGGGTCAGTCAGAAGGTAGAGAGCGTTGGTTCAGTTCGGCAAGGATTACTGAGCTGCTGGCCAGCCTCCAGATGCCAGAGCAGATGATATCCCCACGAGTAATCAATGCCTGGCGATTAGTATCTGGCTTCGAGACGATATCCTGATTAAGCAGCAGCGCAGCTAATAGAATTGGCTCCTCTCGCGTGCACAAAGGGGGAAAGCGTATGTCGGTAATCAGCTGAGCTGAGAACGAGTGTTGTCATCCAGCCTTCCCTAGCAATGCGAGAAGCAAAGCCGAGCATACCCGGAGAACGAGCAGAACGAGCCTCATCGTATGTGCGAGTGCAAGAGGAGAATCATGGAACAATCCATTCGCTTAGACGCCGACCGATTATGCACACCGTGGTCTGGTGGCTGCCGGTCGAATGTGGTTGGTGCATACTACCTGATATTTGACATCCAGGCTAGGTACATGTGTGTATGTACGCACAGACACACACAGAGAGACAGTGAGAAGGCAAGTGATACCCCAGCCCACGGCTGATGGTAGAAGATCTCTGTCAATGGGCGACGTTTATTAGTTGAAGGTAGCTTGGCCTGGGTGGTCCGTGTGGTGGGCCCATATTACACTCATTCCCTGATAGACACAGCTGGTTGGTCTCGGGGGTTTGAGGTGGGTGGGTAATGAACGACACGTCTCTATCCTCATGTTCTTCAGCAAAGACTAGAACCGAAGACACCGTCTGGAGGGTGCGCTCTGTCTCATCACAGTCCGTGGCCAAAAGCCAGTGAATTGGCGGAGCTGCCCCTTAATACGCAGGAAGCGTTTCTGACATGACATCAGCCGAGTTACCATGAAAGGAGCTGTAATACCACTTGCTGCTCTACTATGAATATACACTATGGGGGCTGTTACCATCAGCCTCAAGCCCCTCCATAGGTTACGACTCTCTAATTAGTCGACACGAGTCGGGGCTTAGTGCTGTAGTGAGTTTAATCACAGTCGCTTCCTCCCCTTTGATCCCACTGCCTACCATGCCTAGATAGGTAGTTGGCACTCCCTACAGAGCAGTAATTGCGAATTATACCATGGAAGAAAGCAAAGTTGCCTCCCAATCGCCGGCGTACAGACAGTTGCAGCGAAGGAAGGATTAATACCTAGCCCACGCCGGGAAGCACGCCCAGGGCTCGAGAAGGGCTGGGCCGGGCAGGGGTTGGGGCAACAGGGCGATTACAGGCCTTCTCGGCGAGGTACTGGCAGGTACCTGTTTAAGGACAGGTTGCCTACCCCACCAGGACCCCAGCTCCAAACCTACCAGACCCCATCGGGAGTCCTCACACAAGAGAAGCCCACTAAAACACTCTTCGAACAGTGGAGAGAGCCCCTGAGCGAGATCATTACGAGGAGCTAAGGGAGCATCTAATATCAATGATCAGCCTAGGTAGGTCTTGCTGCTGAAGAACTCCTGTCGGCGTCACGCTTTGGTCAAGATTGATCGGGTTTACATCATCACCGTCGGCGCCCTAAGGTTGACGACACTGAATCAATCTCGTTGTGGTCTAGCTTCCCAAAGCCCAAAGGCACCACCAGAACTGGCAGCAATGGATTGGTATCAAGTTTACCTTCTTCGTGGTCGCTAGCTCCAGGAGGGTTGGAGATTGATCCCTAGCTTGATTAGTTGGCCTGAGCTATATCCAT